AGGGAAGATGCTCACTACTGGCTCAGAGAGAAACAATCATGGTAATTTTTTTTTTCCTTAAAGGGAATATCCCAGATGTCCTTGATAATTAGAAAAATTAGCAAGGACAGTTGTGGAAAGGCTTTCAAAGCCAGTATGTAGAATAATGTTTCCAACATGATAAATTTCCCTTGGTTTTAAAGCAATAGCTCAGTGGTAATATTTTTAATTAGTCATTAAATATTGTATTAGAAGTATCACAAGTGATGATAAACTACTATAGAATACAGTTGGGTTAGTTACCTGGGGAAAGTGGGAGTGGAGGAAGCTATGGCAGGAATATAAAAAAGATTAACTTACCTGAGGTTGCTGTTAGGTTTTCTTAATGTAAAACCAACCTTGGTTTGTTAGATTTTTATTTGGCTACAGGTGGGGAGAAGTGAGTTTTAACGTGTAACTACTTTAAAAATAAAGAAACAAATGCAAAACACTACTCTGAAGGGTTAAAAGTCTGAATCTGTAATGGATGTCTCTTGTTTATCCAGTCAGTTGGCTTATTGTACAGGCTGGATACCTATATGAATACATGTTGCTGACAAAAACCCCAACCAAACAAAACCCATCCGTAACTTGTTTCTTCCTGCTTTTCAGTTGAAATGCAAACTCAATCTATCCCCACATGCGTCACCAAGGACAGCATAAATTCAGGGGCCTTGAGAACCTGGCAGCAATATTTCCATAGTTATTTTGGCTGTGCTTTGCACAACTTCAGCTTTTAATTTAGAGAAGAAAAATGCTTTTTCTCCTTCCTTGCTGTTGTGTGGAGCCTCAGCTCTTTCTGTGATGCTTTTTTCTACTTCTTTTTTAAAGTGCAGCGAGAAGGAATTACTGTAGCACACACAGAGGTGTGAAGGGACTCATTCATCTGTGTGGGGAGTGTTAGGTGCCAGGCGTATTTCTGAGGATTGAAGTACAGGCATTTAAACTGGTACATCCAGTGTCAGCCTTTAACTGGGGCTTTGAGAGATGAGCTCCAAAAAATCTTGCTGCAGTGGCTTTTACACTATTCGTGCCTGTGGCTGTTTTGCCCATCCCCTGCAAGGAATCGCTGCATCCCAGAGCGGTGCCAGCAGAAGGAAATGTGTCCCCTCACCTCCACCTCTCAGAGCATGAAGTCTTTGTTGCACCTATGAATGGAGATGGGTTTGAGCACCATACCATATATCAAATGGAGCAGGGAAGATGCAGCCTGGGTTGCCTTTTGCCACCCTGGGGTAATAATTCTGACAGAAAGTTTCTGCCAGTGGCTCCGTGTCCACTGCGGTGACATTGGTGTGGGCTGCGCTGAAACACATGGTGCCACCTCCTGCCTCCATCCAGTGCCTTTTCCCGGCCATGTTTGCTTTTGCACAGCCACTCCACCAGCCAGACTGGGGCTGGAAGAGAACTCGTTTCCAGCTCCTGCTGGGCAAGACCCTCATGTAGCTCCACATACAGCCCCCAGCACTGGGGAAAGCGAGCCCAATGGCAACCCACAGCTACTTTCAACTGCACATTTAGCACGCATGATTCACAATGCCCCTGGGGCTGGGGTCAGCACACCTGGCTGCCAGCAGTGAGTCAGCTCCTTTTAAGAGGCTGCTCCTCTTTCCCAATCCCTCAAAATGGCATTTCCACTCTCCCTGAAATGTAAATCAAGTGCCTGAAGCCATCAGGGCTGGAGATGCCACCTGAGGGCAGGGAGATGTGCTGCCTCCAACCTTGGGGTCAAGGTGGGCATGGTCAGTGCTTTGGGTTCAGCTGATGGAGAGCGTCACTGGCAAGTTAGGCTTTCTTCTCAGTCACCCAGCTCTCTGCTTTTAGCCAGGTTTCCCTTCAGCTCGGTGGGCTACTCCAGTGGTATCTCTTGGGTTTGGGTGGTGCAAGGCACCACTCCACTGACTGGCACAGAGTCAGCTGCGTGGCAGCAGGAGAGGGAGGGGAGAGGTCACCCCCATAAAAAGAGTGAATTGGATTTTCTAAGTTTATAGCTATGTTTTGTTTCTTTTACAGAACTATAATCCTGGTGCTTAGAGTGGTCTGAAAGGAACAGAAGCACTTAGCCTTGAACTTCTGTTCTGCTGCTGCTTCTTGTGCCGCTGAGGTACAAAACATACCTGTAAACTTATAATCAATCAAACCGATGTTCAAGGGCTAAAAAAAGAAACCCAAAAAGGGCACAGGCTTCCTGTTGAATAGTGAGAAACTTGGGGTGGGAAAAACAGAAGATTGCAGTTGGTGATCGGCAGGTTTTCAAAGACCAGCTTCCTAAGTAGGTTGGTATGAACCAGTTGATTTCCTTCTCCTATCTTCTTCCCCTTGCTCCCCCCCAAAATACACTCTTGAACCAGAGGCAGGCTGGGCTGCCCCTAAAGCTCTGTTTGTGGCAATCACAAGCAGAACAAGCAGAGTGTCACCCTGGTTCAACTAGAAAAGGGAAAACCCACCAGTGGGTCTGCACTGCAGGAACTGGCTCTATGAGGTGGGCAAAGCTCCTTGGGCTGTGAAGGTGGAATGCAGATATTTTGACCTTTCATCCCCATACTGTAAATCCTATACCTGTGCAGTCTATAGATGTTATGGACAGATAACCCCCTGCCTTCCTACAGCCCCATCACCCCCAACCAAATGGCCTTTGTTGGAAGCCCCAGGTCCCCCCCAGCAAAAGCAGGGGGAGGGCTGACTTCAAACTCGACTAAACAGTGCAGGCACAATGCAAACAAATGTATTGCAGCACGCAGCTATGCAAATAGCTTCAGAGCGCAGCGTTTTCCCCGGCATTAATTGCTGCACCACCAGGGTTGCGTAGCAACAGCTCTGGTTGTGTCTCTGACAGCTCCTGCCCCTTGATGCCTCTGACACCTTCTGTGGCAGGCTGGGAAGGAGGAGAGAACAGGGCTGCCCTGGGGAAGCTACAAAGGCCAGGAGGTAGCGAGGGGCTCAGGTGATAAGGTCTGTATGGGACACTGGGGTGTCTTCTGCTGGCATGGGGTGACACGTGCAGTGGGGCTGGAAGGGGGGTGTTGGGGCACAGAAGCAGAGGAGCACCCAGCAGCCACAGCCTTGTGTAGGCAGCTTGCAATGCTGGTGTCCAGAAAGAGCAGACCTGCCATCTTCCAGGCTCTGCAGGAAGGTGGGTTATCTCTCCAGTGCAGTGAATCCTTCTGGGTACCCCATATGGGTCTGTGGCTGCGTTTGAAGCTTGCCCATAGGCATAGAGGGTCTCCACTAAGTCACCTCACACACTGCCCATGGATCCTTAGGCTTGTGGCTTTTCCAGCCCTTGAGAGAAATGACACGTTCCTCATGCACACCCAAAAGTAAGAGAGCCTCAGGCCAAGCCCCATGGGAAGGGGTGACCACAGGCACCAAAGAGAAGGCTGCAGACAGTATGGGCAGGCCTGGGCTCCCTCACTTGTCTGCTGAGCCCAGCAACTTCTGCAGGGCTGACCTGTGCTTCCCAAAAGGCAGGCTCTTCAGAGATAGGGGTGGCTGCCTCCCAAGAACAATTTTTCTCCCTGCTTAAAACGGTGTTCCCCATTCCCATCCTCTCATTCATCAGTCTTCAGCTCCTGCTGTGCCTTTGCCCATGAGGCTGAGGAAGCTGTTAGTACCCAGCACCTTCCCCCCCACCCCGAGAAGGCACTTCAGCTCTGCAATCAGCTCTCCTCTCCTTTCCTCTCTTCTCTCTGATAAGGCATGTAAATAAATAGTTTCTCTGCAACAGTTTACACAGTCCTGCCTGAAGCCATAGGACACTTGAAATAAACTCGTCTATTACACCTGAGCATAAACCAAGCTCTTCTCAGAAACTGCCTTAAGCAGGGAAAAAACAAGCTCTTCTCAGAAACTGCCTTAAGTAGGGAAGATGTGGGCAATCCTGCATCCATTGGCAGCTAGGCAGGAGAATAGCCATGGGCATGTTTTTGTTTAGTAGTAATAGCCAGAACTGACAGGAATGGTGGGAAATGCTGGGCAGGTCCCAGGATGCAGAGGTTAGCAGGTCCCAGGGAGCTGTGCCTCGAGAGCTGGGGATGGAGAGGCACAGGCTGCAGCTCAGCACCCTCGGGGCACAGGGAGAGGAAGGGCTGAGGTAGGACCACGCTCAGAGCCTGGTGGCAGGGAGAGCTTTGCCTCAAGGTTATCCTTTGGAAAAGGTGATGCTGCCTGCAGCACCCAAACAGGGGCAGGCTGGGGAAGGAGCAGATTGAGAACAAAGTGAGAAGTTGCCATCCATCTTAGAGCCAAAGTGATGTGAAAGCAGAGGACCCCGAATGGAACACACTTGTAGAAGCAGGTGAACTGTGTCACTGAGTGAGATGGGTCTTCTAAGGACAAAGGGCATAGAGGCTGCATGGCTTTATCAAGCAGGAGAAATACTTATCTCTGCTTTTGAAATTTACAGCTTGACAACTGGTGTGTATCTCAGCTTGATTCCTTGGAGTACAGTGGGGCAAATAAGGTGAAAATGAGCACCATGGACTCAGCCACGCTTCAGAGGAGGAAACTTTAGGTGCAGGCAAGGCAGAAATGCTACCTGGAGCCTTCAGGACCAGGAAGACCAGGTCCCCTTTGACATACAAGCAGGATGTGGGTCTTTTGAAGACCTGCACAACTTGCAAGGCAGGCATGACCTGGGACCAGCTGCATTCAGCATCGCTACTAGAAGGCAAGGAAGGACCGTGTCCAGCTGCTTTGTTCCGTTCTCCCAAACTAGGGACTCCTTACACAGACTCACAGTCTCCTCCCTCGCCAGGCATCGCCCAGCCTGTAGCTCACTTTTTCTTCCTTGCCACCCACCCGGGCTTTGCCTATACCATGGCTCTTCCTTCACAGCCATTTGTGCCTCGGCAAGGAGGGAACTGGCTGTTTTGCCACCGTAACCTGTTCCCGAGCTGCCCGGGGAGCATGGCAATGGGGAGGGCTGGGGCAGCGACACACCTCTGCTGCCACGGTTATAAATTGAGGCTCCCTGGGGGAAGATGGCTGAGCCGCTCTTAGGAGCTGGGCTTGTGAGCAGGTAAGAGGAAAGCAACCGCCCTCTTTGCAAAGGTGGAGTAAAAGTGCTGAGCTCTGCCTCTCTGCAAAGCCCCCGGCTCCAAGCCCTCCTCCTGCAGGGGGGTGAAAGGTTTTTTATCCCCTTTGTTATTCAGCAAGGCAAGGGGAGGAGCTGGGCTGTGTAAGAGATCCTGGCTGACATAACCCTTCCCATGCAGGGCTCTGGAGAGGGGCCAGGTTGTACCTGAGCATTTGTATTTAAACTAATCCCAGGCATTGCAACTGAAAGTCACCGCAGCGTCAGGTAGAACCAGTTGAGACGGTTGCTGAGGGCGGGTTTTTCGCCTGGGTGTAGTAAAGCAGGCTCAAGGTATGTTGTTTATTGCTAACCCTGGGAGTACATTTGGGAGCTGAGCTTGCTCAGCCTTTCCGGGTGGTTTTTGGGAGAGCCCTGCTGGCTGCCACTAAGCACGGCTGGCTCCGGTCCCTGGCTTTCCCTCCTTCTCGCTGCCAATGGCTTGTCCAAGCTGGGGCTCTTCCTCCTTGTCCACACACCTGGCAGCATGGAGGGAAGTCTCACTCCAGATACAGCTGCTTTTCTCCACCCTGGCCCCAACCCCTGTGATAAGCATTGTCCCCCTTGACCCAGCCAAGCGAGCGAGGTCAGAGTCTGATGCTGGGGAGGGCAGAGTAAGGCTGTAGTGGGGGTAAACGACTTCTCTAGTACAAGGCCAGGAAGTGCGAAGTGCAACTGTTACTGGAAAGCAACCTGGTGTTGCTGGCACAGATCCTTTGACTGCAGCATGAGTGCCAAGGTGCGCGGTCCACTCGGTGTGGCCAGGACTGGGTGGGAATTGCCCACGCTGCCATTGGGAGCAGATACGGTGTCAGTAATGGCACCTAGCACAGTGCAAACACTGGGTAATTATCCCTTAACCTCTCCACCAATAAGTCCTAATTAATTGCCTTTGCCAAGCAGGTAAATGATAATCGCCTCGGTTTGAGAGCTAGCTAATGGCAGCGATCCTGTGCTGCAGAAGCACACCTTTCCGAGAGACCACTGCGTGTTGACAGCCCGTCAGCTGCAGAGCCACTTTATTAAATGGCACTAAATCAAAGGTCAGTGCAAATGGCAAGGCACTGCACCACACAGGGTACATTGCTGCCTGCATGTCCTGCAGGCTGGGAGTGCACCACAGGTTTGCACTGGTTTGCAGAGGAGGTTCAGATCTGCTCTGTTTGCCCTAGACCCATGTTCTGCCACTGAGGCGTAAGCAGAGTCTGAAGTCTCCCACTAGTTCAAGATTTCTGTCATCTGGATGGTCAGTTGGGATGCTGCTGTGTTCCCACCCAGCCTGGCTGGACAGATTGAGCATGCAGAGGTGTCCTGCTGGGTTCCAGGTGCACTGGGCCTTCTACACTGGACACCATGATGATACTAAATCTGATTCTTACTGGGCAATTTAGGTTTGCTTTGAACATGTCGCATGGTGTCTACACACCAGGATGTCCTAGGCGGAAGTGTAATTATGAGTGCTCTGGCAGGACACAGACCATAAGAGAAGCGTGGTCCATGTCCTGCCAGCAGTATGCATACGTAAGTGTGCATGTTGGAGACTGAAGGGATACCTGCCAGCCCCCTGACAACAGGAGGCTTGATCTCACCTGGAGGTCAGGCAAGTGATATGCCTGAGTGGGAGGAGAAGGATTATTCCAGTTTTGCAGCATAAACTTTTATTCCCTGGGACATGTTACTGATTGCTTCTCTCTTTATCTCTCTAGTGAGGATGCAGCAGAGACAATAGCAATAGACTCTAACAATCAGCCGAAGTCTCCACTGGAAAAGTTTATGGTCAGACTGTGTACACATCACCAGAAGCAATTCATCCGTGTGCTAAACGACATATACACTGAAGTACAACCAGACTCTGAAGGCCAGCAGTTGTCTGAATCTGAGAGCATGGAGGCCTCTACTTGTGGCTCTGGTTGCAGCCAGCGAAGCACTGAAAATCAGGACAAGAGTGCTACTTGTACTGAATCAAAGGCCCCTTCTTCCTCAGACCCAGGACAGTCGGGGTCTGATGGCCCCCTGCATATTTTGGGACAAGCCCCGAAGCAGCTGGTAGAGCATAAGTCTCTGGACAGAGCAGAGAGCTCCAGTCCTGCTTTGAGAAGGGACTTCTCTGAGCTCCCCGTCACCAGGCTTCGTTCTCCTAGTCCAAAGGATAGCTCCACCCAAGGATACCTCAGCACGTTGAACTCTTCCTCTTTGAATTTCCATCATGCCGCAAAGAGCCTGGATGGGCAGCAAGCTGCTGGACACGAGCAAGACGTCAGAAAGTGTGAGGACAATAAAGAGCAGCTAGCAGGTAAGACTCTGATGGAAGGTTATATCTCGGTCAAAGTGGCGAATGTGAATGGCAGTGAGGACAGCTTAGACAGCTGTCTGGGGTCCCAGAAGAGCTCCTTCAGAGCTCTGCCAGAAGAGTCCTGGGATCCCAGCTTTGTGGTGACCCCCCCTCGCAGAGCAGACAAAGAGAACACTTTGCAATGCAGCTCAAACGCATCTTTGCACCAGGACCTAGACGCAAAAGAACAAGATGCAAGACCAAAGCAAGAAAACCACCTGCACGCTGTGCCCAAGGGCAAGGCAGGCTGCCACCTGCACACGGCCGACAAGGGCCCGCTCGACAAGTCCAAAGAGGCCTGGCTGACCGCTGGTGCCGCGCCAGCCACCCACCGGACCCC